TCTATTCTATTCTATTCTATTCTATTCTATTCTATTCTATTCTATTCTAAATATTGCTTTTCCAAGAAGGTCACACACGACCACTGCTCACAGAAATGTAATAGCAAACCCTTTGCTTGACCAAAATTAGGTTGTTTGTCTCAGTTGGGTTTTCCTGTATTTTTATAACTTGTTACAAAAACTGAATGTCATTTAGAAAAATGAAACTCTTTGAGTCACATCTCTACAGACATTGATATGTTCAGCGAATCAAAATACGGACGATTTGAAACAGTTGAAGCTGTGACTCTTAAAAGCAATGGCTGAGTTGTTTTGTAGTTGTGAGACTCGGATCAGATAAGAAGCTCAAAAATGCGGATGTGCCTGATAAGCTGAGCCATTAAAATAATCTCATCTGTTTTAACTACGTAGATTTACCCCAAACCATAAAATTATAGCAACCTACTGAAGCTCCATAAAAGTGAACTTATTTCCTGTTTTGCCACAGTCAGAGCCACAGATATCTGGATGCTCAGGGAGTTTCTGGATCACCCGCCTCTTTGCAGTATCTGCATGCTACATTTAACATCCGCCTGCCTGTATGCATCCCATGGTGTTTCATGACAGTGGTTGTGAGTGGATTAGTGTGTGGGTGTGTGATGGAGAAAGAAAAGAAGAAGCATGTTTCTTAAGCTTGAAAGGTGTGTCTGTCAGCGCCAGAGAAATCTTTAGCACACAAGCACACACAAACCTCTACTATAGACTTCCTGTGTCTGCCGTGATGAGTCAGAATCAGCCTGTTATATAAAATTTCAGATGAGAGAAAGAGCCATAGGCACACCTGTGCACTGTAAGTCAGTCCAGGTCCAGGCTTGTATTTATTTATTTACAGCAGCTTGCAGTTCTTACAAAGCGTGTCTTTAATCGTGACTCATCCCAGAGGAATTTATCAGTCCCCATTTAGCTCTCTTTTCACTTCAGCCAATGTTTCTTTGGTATAATGAGATCAGAATAGCTCTCTTGGCACAAATCAGCTGTTTCTCATGCTCATTTGTACACACAAATTTGGCTGTGTGTGTGTGAGAGTGGGTGGATAGAGGCAGAAGGGGAAAGGAATGTGGACTGTTTGGAGGAAATTTGCTTTAGAACAAAACTATACGTTTTTGGTTGCCACCTCCACACCATCAAAACCTTTCTGCTCAAACCTCAAAGCTACCCCTGAAGCCTTCGGTCTCAGCCACGTGACTACACCTCCTGCCACACAAGCACTTCTCCCACATACCAGACACTAATCTAGGGCAAATTCAGTACCATTGTAGATGTGAAGTTAAAGCTGCCTAGGCATGACTTTTATTCCCCCAGCCCAGGTGATCAACAGGTCTGCAGAGATGAACCTACACCACCACCCAGGGGGTAAAATGTTAAACTACATGTGAGACTAAAATGTATGTGCTAAGACTAGATGAACCTCTCAATGATGTGCTATAATTTCTAAAATGACCTTGATTAACTGTGTCAGGGCAATTGAATTATTATGGGCAAGTCAATTTATCATGTAATACTTGGACAAGTTTATCAAAGTAGAAATCTTTAAATAACTTATTTCTGGTTAAAAGTACTATTTCAGCTACACATAATACCATTTGTCCTATTCAGCATAATTTCAGATAGCTTGTCATTCTTCTTAATAAAAATAACATCACTTTTTCTTTTATGTAAGTTATTTTTACGAACAATGTGGATATCTGAAATAAACTTAATACCCATATACTCAGATTTTAGATATATAGAGTCATATTTTGTAACCTGTTTTTTGCTTAAATGGTACTTTGTAAATTTCTAAACTTATATCCAAAATGTGTGTAGATAGTTTGCGATGACTATGAAGCCATTATTTCAAATACTGATGTGTGAAATTGCTTTTTGCATCCAAGCAGTGTCATTACACAATGAAGAGTTTGCATTCTCAATCAAATAACGATGAAAGATCCTTAATTGGGAAGAATTTTCTGCAGGGTTCAGTAAAGTTCTATCTTAACTTATCTTGTTATATACGTTTTCATTCATTCAACCTTTATTTATACAGGTTAATCCCATTGAGCCTCGGGGACTCATTTACAAGACCTTGTATTATTATTCAATAATTATTATTATTACTTATTCAATTAGTGATGGTTTTTTTGTTATTGATGCTTTTTTTTTCACTTCATGAAGTTAAAGGAATAATAATTGTTCATCTACTATAATAGATACTATATTGATGGATTAAATATGGGTTAGTTGTACTGTATGTATGGATTATACATGCAATAAATGTAAGATTATGTAGGAGTGAGAATTTTGATAAGTTTATGGGATTTACCTGTATAAATAAAGGTTGATTGATTATACTTCTACCCACTCCCTTAAATATGTAAAACAAAAAGTTTTGACATTATGCTTCATGGTGCATTTTTTTTAAATATATTTACATATTCAATAAATAATAAACTAAACTAAAAAACAATGGACAACAATAGACAATCATAAAGAATGCGTACAAATTTATTTATATATATATATATATATATATATATATATATATATATATATATATCAGAAGATAGCAATAACAGAAAACAACAAAAAAACGCTTTGAATGTTTGGAGAAACTGAATTTTATGATCATACCAAAAAGTTGTATTTTCTCTAACACTGTTTGTTGTGGAGACCTTTATATTAAACATTAACTTGTATGCATTATATTTTCATATTATTTAGTAGGTGAAAAACGCTTTGACAAGGAGAAATGCTTTGATTGCCTTTACAACAATAATTAGGTGTTGATTATAGGCTACAACGGCTTGCCTTAAAACTTGACTGTACAGAACACAAACGCCAAGCGTGCTCGAACGCGTGCGCACAACAGGTAAACGTCACAGCTCGCAGAGAGAGAGAGGGAGAGAGAGGGAGTCAGAGTGAAAAAAGGAACGGAAGGAAAGAGAGAAAGTTTCGTCGAGTTGCGGCGGAAAAGAGCCCGTGCTGAGTTAGCAGGACGAGGTAAGACTGCCGTCATTATTTTCAGCTGGAACTTTGTCAGAGTTCGAGTCTTTTCGGGTTTTGCAGTTCACAGAAAGTTGCTTCAAAACGCCTGCTCGTTCTTCTTCTACGGTTTTTTTGTTTGTTTATAAATCCGTTAAAGGAACAAACTGTAACGGTAAACTTGTCACGCCCGTGGCTAGCCAGTTCGCTCTTTAAAAAAAACGTTGTCACGTTTGTTTTCTGCGGGTAACAAAGTCATTGACGAGTTTTTAATTTAAGCTTTGTTTGTGTGAACCGATTGTTTGCCGCTTCTTTGATTTGCCACACCGTACTTTGACTGGGTCAAACAGGTTAAAACAAAATAAAACAGCCGAGGTACCAGAGCTTCCGTACTGACCGCCACTTTATTATATTTATTTTAAAAAAGTGTGTGCGAGCCTGCAACTACAGAGCCACTATATTTATGTGTTTCAGCATAAAGTGCACGGAGTTCAGCCGCCAAATCTTGACAGGTCACAAAATGTGTAATTACTCCGAACCGCACAACATGGACGGGGGTGTGGAAGAAAAACATCTATTTGTCATGAAGGCAGTCTGGCTGCAGACTGGTGTTTGAGTCAGACGAAATGTGACATCTGTGTTCAGCCAACTGACAGCCAACCACATCCGTTGTTGCATAAAGAAATTCAGATGCACGGATTGAAACGACCGGCTCTTCAGTTTGGAAATCAGAGCAGGACTCATGGTGAACATTAAAACCTGGATTCTGTTAGAGGTGCCTGTCAGGACCTGTCATTTCCAACATTAACATGAGTATAAAGACTAAAAAAAGTTGTGTGAGTCATTACAAAATAGGTGGAAGTTTTAAGTCATCCCAACAACACATTACTATTTTCCAGTTTGACCGACTTGCCTTCCTCTTTGTTGAATTTAACCATTTTGCCACCACGTGCATTCTGCTCCTTCTAACTTGCATATTTTGTGCTCATTAGTTCAGATATAAGGAAGTAGATTTTGCAGAGCTGCCATGGACGATTGGTGCATTGAACATGGCTCGTGAACTTAACAGATGGGTCAAATCGAAACCGCACATGAACAGCCTGCCAGGCAGTCAATCACACAATGTGCCTGCTATTGATTAACTTCAAAACCCCCTTGACATCACAGCTAACTGCAGCAGTGAGTGTAATGCTGGTCATCCCTCTTCCTTCTCAGCGTACCTGTTTTTGCTCTTACTTTTCTCGTCTCGGTGTGGGAGGCTATAGTTTTTGGGATGTGAATGCCATCTAGGCCAACTGTGGAGCACAGCGTGCTTGTGTTTGGATTAGCGACATGTTGAGGCTCGTTCTGCCTTTCTGGTACAGGCAAACCCCTTCACTGTTGAGTAGAAACAATTTGGAAGCTACACACTAAAACACTCTGGCAGCAAAGTAAACAAGTAGCAGAGGCACCATCTGACACTGAGCCTTTTAAACTTGGAGGCTTTAACCACATAGTCCAGGGGATACCTGGCCAACATGTGAGATTATTGGGCGTTGCCTTTCGCATTGCACAATGGCTGTTGTAGCATATGGAAGCTTATACTAGCAGTTAATGAGGCTTGTCGTGCACTGTGCAAAATGTGACCGACTGCTTATTAGTACTGTACTCTCCACACACACACATGCAGTCCTTCAGTTCTCTGCGTTAAAACCTATATTTGTTGTTGAGAAAAGAGGTAAAACACTTTGAGCGTCTGCTCTAAATGTGCACGACTGAGTCTAAACGACAAAAAGTTGATCTTTTCTGAGTTTCACTGTGATTTAACAGGAATTACTGTCCTTGCTGACACAGCAGTCTAATGTGTGCAGGTGCAGGTGTTTCCCAGAGGGACAGAGGCAAGAATGTGTTTTTGAATCCGTTTTCTAAACTCCAACAAAAGGAGCGCTGTTTTAGTCGTCTGTCTCCATTATTTGGTCACACAGAGCTCATGTTCCTGAATGTGAGCAAATAGTTTTGCTGCTTACAACTTTGTGAAGAATAGCAGTGTATTTGCTGGATAGAAAGATGTGTTTTAACTGTTTGTTAAAGCATTTTGCAATAGATTAAAGCTGCAAGGTTAACACTGTGTTAATCTTGCTGAACAGGGGATCCTTTAACTCATCACCATGGCTCCTTTCTTGCGGATCGCCTTTAATTCGTACGACCTGGGCACCCTGCCTCCCTCCGCTGACCCACCCTTCTGTGCTATCAAGATGAAGGAAGCTTTAACAACTGGTACGGACATTTTTTGACAGTACACATTTCTTTTTTTCCCCCCTTTTTTTGTAAAAATAATTGTCTTATCTTGTTTCTTGTTCTTGAGAATGCAGATAAACACATTGTTTTTCTTCCTGTCTGTTTCCATCTTTCATTTAGAACGAGGCAAGACTCTGGTTCAGAGAAAACCCACCATGTACCCAGCTTGGAAAGCCAGTTTTGACGCACACATCTACGAGGGTCGTGTACTTGAGGTACTGCTGATGAAGACGGCAGAGGAGCCGCTGGCCGAGGTCAGCGTTGGAGTGTCGGTCCTTGCTGAACGCTGCAAAAAAGCCAATGGACGTGCTGAGTTCTGGGTAGGGTTTAAAACCACGTCCTCTGTCCCTTGGACCAGTGTCCGAGGCTCCTTAATAACAGTTGTTTTTGTTCAGGTGGATCTCCTTCCTTCAGGGAAAGTGATGATGGCAGTGCAGTACTTTCTGGAGGGTGTGGATACAGGTAACAGAAATAAATGAACACTATTGTTTATTTTATTTCTACGACGTTTTGCTCTTATTTGTTGGTTACTCAACTTTAATGGTCTCAGATTAAATCTTAAACCAAAGCAGATTTTTATTTATTTATTGACAGACTGACTAGCTTTTACACATGGTTCCCCTTTTCAAATTAATCAGATCTTCCATAAACACCAAGTCCCTGCAGGTAGTCATCTGAACTATCAGTTAGTTCTTTCATGCTGACCTTTTGTTTTTTAATTATTTCCCATGTTGTGCAATGACTTATCTGTGTTTCTTTTTGTATCTGAAAGAGAGTAAGCATGCTTCAAAGGAGGAGGAAGTTCCTACCCTAAACCGTAGACGAGGAGCCATTAAACAGGCAAAGATCCACTTCATAAAGAACCACGAGTTCATTGCCACGTTCTTCAGACAGCCCACTTTCTGCTCTGTGTGCAGAGAATTCGTCTGGTTAGTCTGGTCTTCACTTTATTTTTATTTTTTAAACATCTCCAGATAGAATGATGCAGCAGGACTCAAAATGGAAATCTGTTAATGTGTAGCTCCACATAACACAAAGTTATTCATGTCAAGCTAAAATATACCGTACACACTTCACTTGTTGCACTGCTGCTGGTGCAAACAATCAAGTGGAGCATGGAGACATTCTCTAATAATAAAAAAAGGCCACTGCCATTTATATTTCAAATGTGGAGGCAAACTTTGAGACCACCTGGCTTTTCTTTAATGGTCAGGTGGAGACGTTTTGTTTTTCAGCAGCCATATAAAGATCGTTAATATTCCATTACGCTGATAGCATTGATAAAACAAAAACATAGAGCTGCACATCAACACTCTTTGAGAACTCAAGATGGCCACTTAGTTTTTTTGCATCAAAGCTCATTTTAAGCTAATAAATACAAAAAAATGCTATAATGACCTCCTGAAGCACAAATGATCTTGCTCCTGTTTTGCTTGTTCAAATATGTCATTTATATGAGCACCAAAAATCCAAACAAACTAATTTCTGTCTTTCGTCTTCCACAGGGGGCTCAACAAACAAGGCTATAAATGTAGACGTAAGTGTACAGCAATTATAAAAAGTGCTTTGTTCTTTGAGAAATACCCAATTCATTTAAGTATAATTCAAAATATGACCTTGGCTAAGAATAAAAGTACCATCTCGCTTATATGTTGGACATAAACTCAAACGGTTAATCAATGTATTCAATTTTATGTGAACTTCTCCCAGAATGCAACGCAGCCATCCACAAGAAGTGCATAGACAAGATCATAGGCAGATGTACCGGCACCGCTGCCAACAGTCGGGACACTGTGGTATGTAACTCACAGTTTTTACAGAACACCGTGTGTGAGCGTGCTCCATATGTTTCTTATTCACTGTCCAGTTTAATTTGATCAGTTCAGCGTGGGTTTTTCTCACTTTTTTATTTTTGTTGTGTCCTTGTAGTTTGTTTTCAAACGGTTCTGTTGCTTGGTCTAAATTTAATACTAATTAGCATCTAGCTTGCAATCGTTTTAATGAACACCAATATTCAAGAACAGATATTAGAAGCATGCATCTTTTTAAATTAGATCTAGATTATTTATGTTTACCATTTGGGGATGGGATTTTTTATTTGTTTGAAACACTTTAGTTCAGTTTGATTTAATGTAGTTCCAGTCATGTTTTTAACTGTAGAAATGTTTTTCCAGTCTAACTAAAATACATAATTTATACAGAAATTAATCTGCTACCTTTTAGCAGGCAATTGTTTTTTAATTTTGCAGATCAAGAAGAAATGTGATATTTCTTATTTAAATGTTTTTTGTATCGTGCTCCATATGTTTCTTATTGA